TTCATTATTCATATTATCAATTATCATATATTTTTAGTTTATTACTAATATTATAATTTCGTAATTTTCGAAATTTAATATATAATTAATTTTTTAAATATATTCTTTAAATAATTTCAATATATAATTATTTTTTAAATATATTATATTTTTTAAAACATTTATAATTTTAGAAATTTTAGAAATTTTAATATATAAAATTTCGAATTTTTTTTAAATTTTCGAAATTTAATATATATTATTTTTTTAATATCAAAAAATATATATATTAAAATGTCGAGAGAGTCCGGTAGAAGGTCCGTGTCAAAAAAATATATATATTAAAATATCAAAAAATAAAGTTTTTTTATTTGGTTTTGATAATGCCACTAATAATACTGCTACTATTCATAGACTTAGAGAAATTTGCCCCCCTACTACGACTATGGGTAGATTTCTGCATCAACGATGTGCCTGTCGTGTTTTAAATTTATGTGTTCAACAGGGACTAGAAACTATGGGGGGGTTTGACGAATATTAAAGAAGGAATTAGAAGAATTTGGAGGGTTCGTCTTATTTCGAGGTCCTGAAAGATGTTCTGTAAGTCTAATGGTAGAAAAGAAATAACTTTTGCCAAAGATATCAACATTAAATGGAATAGTACTTACAAGTTGATAGCACAGATTATAAGCTATAAAGAAAAACTTGCTGAATTTTTAAGGGATGAACTTCGTATAATTATTTCACCTTTTGAATTTGTTATTGTTGAAAAATTCAATGTCGTATTAGAAGTTTTTAATAACACAACTCTTACTTTTTCACATGTTTACCAACCAACTACAAATACATTTTTTAAAGAGTGTGTTACAATCGCAACATGTTTTCGTGAAAGTATGGCTGATGAAGATTTGTACCCTTATGTCTCTCCTATGAGAGATAAATGGTGTGCTTATTATTTGTACATTCCTGATATTTATAAAATAGGTATTATTTGTGATCCACGCTTTAAAATTGAAAATTTTAAAATTCTAATTGACTATTACTACACTTGTTTTTTAGATAAAATTATTTATTACTACATCCATTTAATAGAATGGAAAAATGAAAGAGATAATGCTATAACACTTTTTGAGAATTTGTTTAAAGAATATCAAGGGTTATACGGTACTGTACCAGAAGAAACAGCACCACCTCCGCCCCCCAAATCAAAAAAAGATTTTAAAGGAATAGTCGGTGGGCTTCTTGCAAAGAAAGGGAAGCGTGCTCAGCCTTCGACGAGTTCAAGTGGTACAACAGTAAGCTCGCACAACGAACTTGCTATGTACCAAGGGGTGCCATGCGATTACGATGACGACGACGTGGAGTTTGACGTCCTTGGATGGTAGAAGCGGAACGAACACATGTTCCCATGTCTCGGAATGCTAGCAAGACAAATGTTGTCCGTCCCGGTATCAACCGTAGCAGTTAAACGAGAATTCAGTGCTGCGCGGCAACATTCTAACCGACTACCGAAGTTGTCTTAACGCTAAATCTCTTGAAACACTTGTTTGCAATCAAGATTGGCTCTTGGCAAGACGTCGAGCTCAATAGTCATCGTACGAACTCAATTCGGAGCATTACATGAATGCAACCACAGATGGAAGTCCGAGTTCTGAAGAATAAGTTATAAACTTTTTTTATGTTAATGTAAATATGTAATTAAGTTTTTTAGGTGAGCGATATATAAGCTTGACGATTGAGTTTTTCGGTAAGTCAACCTTCCCAATGAAGGGTTAGTTTTCTCCGAGTGTCGTGTCTCTCGAGGAGTGGACGAAGGGAATTAATTAATTTTTATAACTAGACGAAGGTTTGGACAGGTCTGAAAGTCTTCTCTTTTCGATTTGATAAATAAAAATACTATACAACTAATCGCTTTTGAGAAAAATAAAATAAATAGTACGTGTATAAGACTAGACTTTGGGCCAAGGCATCATCCGAGTTAACTACTGTTGTCACATATTTAATCAATAATTGGAATAAATATATTTCTGTCACAAATATTTCACTAACTTAACCTTTCTCAAGGTATCATTAATGTGTTATAAAAAGTTTAGCTCAATTAATTTTATATCCTCATGGACAAGGCAAAAACTAATTTCCAATTATTAATTAATTTCTCTCTCAATATAACTAATTAATTTAACAATAAAAATAATTCTAGAACAATTATTCCAACTATTAAATAAACATACAGAGTATATGCCCAAATTTAGCCAAGACCCTAATCAAGGCCCAACCCATACTAAATATCAACAGTGCATACAATAAAAGAACAACAACAACAACAACCCAGTTGAATCCCACTACAGTAGGATCTGGGGAGGGCGTGTGTACGCAGACCTTGCCCCTACTCGAAAGTAGGGAGGCTGTTTCCAAGAGACCCCCAGCTCAACCTGCACAACATTATAGAAGGGAACACAGTATAATTCGGGTAAAGCACCAAGTACAAACAACAAGTACAAGCAATAGCAAAAGATTCCAAACAAGCTACTCTAATCCTAGTTCTGCAAAGGCCATATCCTCAGCCAGGGTGAGAAGTCCTAAATCCCGCCTAATCACCTCCTTCCAATTCTTCCTAGGTCTACCCCTTCCCCTATTTCCCCCGATAATCGTAATCCTCTCGCATCTCCGTACAGGGGCGTTAGCATCCCGCCGTCTCACATGACCAAACCATCTCAACCTCGCTTCCCGCAACTTATCTTCCACCGACGCCATGCCTACCTGATGTCGGATAACTTCGTTCGAAATCCTATCCAACCTTGTCTTTCCACACATCCATCTTAACATCCGCATCTCCGCCGCATGTAGACGACGCACATGAGTTTTCTTAACCGCCCAACACTCTGCACCATACAACATAGATGGTCTGACTACGGATCGATAGAACACTTTGCACCATACAACATAGCTGGTCTGACTACGGATCGATAAAACTTATAAAAACCATTGAGAAATTGATTTGTTTGATCCAAAATTGGACAACAACGTGTTAAATATAGAGAAGATAAGTGCATATAAAACGGACTTATCAAAGCTCCTTCGAGGGTTTTTTACGGTTCTTTAACTCGCCGCTTTTTTTGAACCGTTAGGGTATTAAATGTAGTTGTTCTTCAGTTCGTGTATTACTCATTTTACAGTATTTAAATAACAACTACATTCTTTTTATTTCATTCTTTTCTTACCTCGCCGCTTTTTATTTCATTCTTTTCTTAAACAATTGCAAATTTACAATTTTATACTTTAAAAATTTTAAAAAAAAATAAAAAAAAATAAAGGGGGGGGGAGGCGAAACCGGCCAGTCCGGTACCAGAACCGTCGGTCCGGGAACCAGAATCGGTACCGACCGGTCCGGTCACGGTACCGGTACCAGTACCAAGAGAGTCTTGCGCTGCTTTTAGGTGTAATATAACCCGTGTCCACCCCTGCTTAGGTGTCTTGCGCTGCTTTTAAAATAGATTTAATCACATCTCACTAAAGTTATTAAACATTGTCCTATGAATCAAGTACATCAAGCATTTCAACATACGGGGTATATGAAAGTGTTCGACTCAATTAGAATATTCAAAATCATATTCTATAATAATATCTTAAAGAGTATTGCTAATTTCTTCCAAAAATAGCTATATACACACTTTTTCCTATATTTTCTAAATCCATACCCATTAATATAACTTTGGCATTGGTATGAATTTAACAAATTTAATTGAACGAAAGAGATATAGCCATTTTGAGGTAGATTTAACAATATCCTGTTTTAAATCAAAAACTTAATTAAAATGTTACACTCAAACTATAGAGAAATTTATCATAAAATAGAATGGTTTTATATCAAACTTAAAAAATACCTCCATATTGTGATGTCTTTATAAGAAGAAATAACTTAATCTTAAAATTACTTTCTCTTTTATTTTGTGACGAAGATAGTAGAAATGATTTTGAATGAACCTCTTAACCTCTTCGGCCAAATAGCTCCAGTGCCCTTGTGTTTTGGAAAATTGACACAAATACTCCCTCTGTTTTCAAAACTTATTTCTAAAATCCTCGTGATTTCAAAACGGTGCACCCACACATCCTCTGATCAATTTCCGACCATTTTCTGACGAAAAGGGGCATTTGCTCCTAATTTTTAAATCATGGGGGGCACTCGTGCTCATTTCTTATTTTTCATTTATTTGAATTTTCCTCTTTTTAAAATTTTTAGTTATCTCTCTGTTTCCATTTTTAGAACTTTTTTTTAAATTTCTTTTCAATTTTTTATAATATTTTTAAAATTTTAAAATTATTTGTGTTTGAAATGAAAATAAAAAAGTAAGATACACTACAAAATGAAAATACAGAATAAAAAGTCAAATATGAAAAAATGAAATGAAGAAAAATTAAATATGCAAAAAAATTCCAAAAAGGATATTCATTTTTATTTTTTGTTTTATTCTGTTTCTTACGTAGTATTTTATACCTCATTTTTTGAAGTTAAAAAAATAACTTTTTTTATTCGGAAAACAAAAAAACAAAAATTGTTAATTTGAGATGCACAGATGGAATATATGTTTATTTTTGTTCAAACAAAAATAATTATAAAATTTAAGAAAGTTATGAAATATTTTAAAAAGAAATTTCAAAAACTTTGAATAATAAAAGATAAAAATAAAGGAAAAAAATAAAAAATAAACGACAAATAAAAATGAGCACTAGCGCCTCCGATTTAGAAAATATGCACCAATGTCCACTTTTTTACTGAAAAATGGCCGGAAAATAATCACAGGAGATTTGGTTGTAATGTTCTGAAACCACAAAGATTTTATAAATAAATTTTGAAAATATAAAAGGTATTAGTACATATTTTACAAATTATAGGGTACTAAGTGCTATTTTGTCTTAGTTTTTCTAAAAACATTTTTTGAAAGCGTGATTAGTGGGAAGCAAGGGAACACGTGGCGCGAAGCTAAGTGGCTAACCGTGGATTTTTTATTCATGTTTTACCGATAACCCGTATTTGTTCGGTAAAATTTATCAACTCCGTAATTTCCCATTTTTCTTTCTAAGAAAAGAAAAGAAAGAACAAAAGTAACAGAGGAAAGGGAAAGAGGACGCTGTTCATCCCTCCGGCCTTATTGATTAGTACATTTTCCGGCAAGCAGCCATGGAGAACGCAGCCGAACCACCGCCGCCGTCGACGCCGCCCGCCACCACTCCCTCCGCCCCACCAGTTTGCATCCACCCGCGGCGGGAACCCTTCGAGCACGGGCTTCTCCCGATCCCCAAGCTCATCTTCACCGACGGAACTCAAACCCTAGGCCCGATCAAGGACAAGCTTCTCTCCATCTCCGCCGAGACAGCGCACCGTGTCAACTCGCAATCCATTTCCGAGACTCTTCAGATCTCAGCTGACCACGCGCGCCTTGTCCTCGAGACAATTGCTGCCGTCCTGCACTCTGAATCTGATCCGCTCATTTCTGCAAATCCTTCTGAAATTGATTCCGTCGGCGTAAGCGTATTTGATTTGGTGGTGTTTCTGTACATTCAGAGTTATAAAAGGTTGCTCCCCAAGGGGCATAAGGATTCCGCTGCCGTGGCTGATGTTTGGCCCTCCACTTCTGCCTTCGACGGTTTCTTATCTGCCCTTTCGCCACTCCAAGTAATAAAATCTACAATCGTTGTTTTCTTTTAGAAATGATTCTTTTTTTAATCGATAGACACACTAGTGGCTTTATGTTTTTTATTGCTGCAAACTCCTAAAGATCTGCCTTTTATTTCAATGTTTTGCTCTTTGTTATAGTAACTTTAGAATGGCACTCTGGTTGTTATAGGAACATTTGGTAAGTATACTTTCAGTTGTCTAACTAATGGAGTATGAGAATCGCGTTCTTTAGCATGCATAATGATCTTACATAAATCTCATATTAGTGGTCTGTAATTGTTGTTCTTTTGCTGGTTCTATATATTCCTCGAAGTGGTTCTGTCCATATTTGCATTTTCTCTGTTCTTATAAAACCCATTTTGTTTATTCAACGAAATGCATGTTTTCTTAGGAAGTGCTATACAACAGCTTACTCGATAGCCAGTTGATTGACGGTGCAATTCTTGATTTGGATTGCTTATGAGAGTTGAATGAACTGGAATTCTATTTTATTTGGCTACTTCTCTTGTTATTTGGGGATATGGGCATACTGTAATCTTGGAAGTGTATTTCATGGAAGAGAATTTATGAGAATGAATTAGTGGCCTAAGATCAGAATGATTAAACTTTGGATGGCTTCTTTTTTTCATTTAGCATCAATTATAATTTTCTAGTTATGGCAATGGTTGTCTTTCCTCAATTGCACTTGTAATTCTTTTAGAAAGGAAATAATTATACAAAGTATAATCAGAAGACAAGTTGGAATTGAATTAGGAAATGTACTATAGGGAAAAAAAGTCTTTCTCCAACTCCATGTTGTTTCCTTCTGCTCAAATAGTCAATTCCCACCCCCGTTTGCCCCAATTTTAGGGAAAAGGTGGGCTTACAGCCCGTAACTCGTCCTTCTTTTGTTCCCCATATACCATAATACATAGTTTATCCCTTGATCATAAAATTTTCTCTCTACAAAAAAAGCCTTTTCATTTTTTCAAAGTTGTGGGTGACTATCATGAAATTGCTGAAGTTGTATGTTTTTCAAAATGTTTAGTGTGTCAGCTAACCTCTATATCGCTGCATGAACACTTCACAGAATCTTAACCAAATGGAGCATTTAACTTAGCATCCTATGCTTGTAATTATATGGTGTGCCACATCAATACTTCAACAAAGACTTGACTTTCATTTTTGCAGCTAGTACGCAGCAATAGTCGCAGGTTCATGCCATCACAGTCTGATGAAGAGGCTCACCAGTTATCATATTTACAGAAGCACGTGGGCAACATTCTCTCTCTTTTGGCGGACTCAGTTGAAGGGGATGCAGAAGAATCACAGGTCTGTAATTTTCACACTATTTACCTTGTACAATTTGGGGGGGAAATGATGCTTTTGTACTTGACTTTTTGACAAAGCATTCTTTGAAGGATAAATTCATTGGCATTTAGTATGGGAACCCCAAGATTTACATTGATCAATGATCACCATTATTATTAGCCTCCACACATAGTGTTTTCTTTGCTGTGTTGACATGTTTTGAATGGATATCTTATGAACTAGGTTTTATCTATGGAGAGATTTGAGCATCTTGGGTATCTAACCTATTTTGGAGAAAAGGGATTTGAACGAATTCCATTGAGCCAAAATGCTCCGTTTTTTGCAAATTCTGATCCAGACATGCCTGCTGTTCCTGTTCCTGCAACCCAAGTTCATGAGTGGCTTCTACAAAACATTGCATCTGCGTTGGAACGTATTGCTGAGAGAGCATCTGCCAAGGAAAATGGTCCTACCATTGCCTCCGATCCGGATATTCAAATGACTGATGTCTCTACAAGTCCTGCAAAGTCCACATTTGGTCCTCGGGGTCCTAGCTATATTGAGGGGATCTCAAAATCGTCGTATGTAAGGCAGGCAAATGATCTTAAAGGTTCTTCTGTAAAAGTAAGTTCACTATTTTCTTTGAAAATGGTTAATTGCGTAATAACAACAACCTGGTTGGATCCCACTGGGTTAATAGACTTTTAACCTGAGTGTTCTCTCTCAAGGACCATTACCCTAGTATCTTTGAAGCACTGTCCTAAAAAGAAAAAAAAGCAATAGACTTTAGGCAGGCAGGAGATTGGAGCCTATCGTCTAGGTGACCAGGTCAATCAGGATCAATTCATTAAAAGTTTGGCAACCAAGAGAAGCTTGCTGACTACGTGAGGCCAAGACATGTTTAGTTGTGGATTTGTAGACCAAATCCTGGAAGTTAGTTTTGATTGAAACAAATCTCTTTTACCCCGAATAAGGCATTTCACCTATTTGTAATATTAGTGAGCATGATTTTATTTCACAATTAATGATTATGTGGTTTATCATCTCTGTAGGTCAACCCTAGTTGCCATATCTTTTTTTCCCTTTCATTTGGAATTTCTTCCTCTTTACATTAACAATACATCATTTCAACAGGATTTTATTCTTTGTGGGATTCAACAGGGTTGTTGTTGTTGTATTTCAACAGGATTTTATTCTTATTAATTTTCATTCTTTGGGGCTTACTGTATTTTCCCCTTTCCATTTCCTTTCTCATAACAGGTTGTGAACTGTCATGAATCAGTCATTTATATACTGGCTCCTTTGAAATATGCCACGGTCTATGGATGTTCTGATGCAACCATTGTTCTTGGAGCTGTTGGCAAGGTAGTTTTAAGAATGTGGGACTAACTTTCAAAGCTACTGATGATAATTTTATGTTCACGCGTGAGATATTTCTTACCAGCAACGGTGATGAAATCATTATTGTTTTTTTGACAACATGAAATCATTTTTTGTTAGAAACCAATAATAGGTGCAGCAATAAAAAACAAGCACAGTAGCATTAAATTCACGTCTGGCTGCTTGAACTTCAAATTCATGCATGCCACTTTAGGATTAATTTCGGGCTAGCATGTTCAATACCTATAAACTCTGGACAAGTTTTAGATGTTCCTTGTCAGGTTAATGTCTTCAATAATAGTGCAGCATCTTTTCAGGCAGTCAGAGTTGAACACTGTGAACGAGTGCATGTGATTGCGGCAGCTAAGCGCATCTGTATTGTCAATTGTCGTGAATGCGTATTCTTTTTAGGAGTAAATCAACAACCACTTATTGTTGGCGACAACCATAAATTACAGGTTTGTCATTTTTCTTTTGTTGCACATAAAGTCATAAACATCATTTAAAAGCACACGTCTTCCTAAAACTTCGTTCTATTGATATCCGAATTGTAGTGTTATGTAATTGACTTGTTAAGCCCCCCTTTTATAATAGTGATTTGTATAGAAGATATCAAATTCAGATTTTGACATTGAAAACTCAGTTAAAGCTGCAAAATCCAAATGTTTTTTTTGGCATTATGGAGCTGATGCTTTGAACAATTTTTTCCGGAAAGTTTATGCTTTGCACCATACGAGTTGAGATGTACAGCTACTAGGAAGCTTTTGTGAGCAATATTGACGTGTCACTGAAAAGTAAAAAAATGGTAAAAGACTAAAAGACATCACTACGGACAAATGGTATCATATAACGATGAGGCTCACAATCTCACATCACATTGCTTAAGTTGACTCTCATGAGAAGATTTGCAGTCCTGTACCCCTATTTTGACCATGGTTCAAGAAGGCGCACGTGAGGCTAGCTTTAATGTGGGTGCTTGAATTTATCCTAGAGGCTTATGCCTCTTTTGAGTGAGGCATGGTTGCCCCATAAACCTCTAGGGTGTTTCTGAAGCTTAAGCCTCATAACTGTTTGTTTTAAGACTTATTCCTCTGGTCTTATTGGGTTATATTTTTTCTTAAATTCAAAAGGGGCTTTTTTTTTTATTTTTTTTGAAATCTTTCTAGTCCAAATCTCTGTTGGTCCCGGTCAATCTTTTCAGTTTCGATCTTTTTGCTCTTCTCTAGGCTAGGAGGTAGTCTTCTATACTTGTTGTGCGTGCCTTGTATGCTTGGTGCTTTTTGATTGCAGTACTTTTCCTTCGTTAACTTTAGTTTGTTCTCATATGTGTTGTCTCCGTGCTTTCTCTGCTTTATTATCTCCTACGATCTTTTCTCTGCTATATTATCTCTCATGATTTAGTCTCTTGGGATCTTATTTGTGCAGCTTGAGCCGGGGGTTCTCTTGGAAACAACCTCTCTACTTTCGAGTAGGGGCAATGTTTGCGTACACACACTCTCCCCAGACCCCACTTTCGTGGGATCCAACTGGGTTGTTGTAATGTCACCAAAACCCATATAGCCTCAAGGCCTCATTAAGAAGACAAGTGACTCATCTTCTTTTTTGGTTGACCTTTGGAAGTTTTTATTCTGAATGATATTTGAATCTGAATTTTCTAGTCTCATCTTCTTTGGTGTTTTTTTTATCCCAAGGCTTACATCCCACCTAATACCTCAGCCATTTTAAGCATTAATTGTCTTTCTGTTTTGTTTACCAGGTGGCTCCGTTTAACACAGTTTACTCACAGCTAGAGGAGCACATGAATCAAGTTGGTGTCTATCCTACTATTAATAGATGGGATGAACCTGTGGCACTTGGAGTGGTTGATCCACATGATTCGCTATCACATCCTGCTGGTGTCTCCGATGTTCAGACCGAGTCCGCTAACCGTTTAGACCCTGATCAATTCACTGAATTTTTGGTAGGTTCTTTGTTATTTAGTGAGCTAATATGAAGCACTCTAAATTGACTTATCATTCCCAAGCTGGATTTTGATATCGTCCGTTCAGTTTACTGTAACATTTCATTATCTTGCATATAATTTGACTTTGCAGATTTTTAGTTGTTCTCTATACCTTGCCCTCTGCCTGTGTGTGTGAAGGCATTTTGACACACCTTTTTTTCACAGATTCCTAATTGGTTTGAGGCTCAACAATCTGGTCCAACAAAAGATAACCCTTTTCCTTTGCCAGATGCTTATGTGGCTTCTCAGCAGAAAAGTGTATGCGTCTGAAACATCTTGTAATTGTTTTTTAATATACTCCATCCATCCAAAAACAAAGTCTACACTTTTCTTTTTGGAAGTCCCAAAATGAAGTTAACATTTCCCACTTCTCCATTTAGGCAATGAATATGTAGTCTTCTACTTTCTCTCTTTGTAATAAATCTCAACTACACCTTCCGGTTTTCACCAAACACTTTTCACTTTTCAAAACACAGTTCCTAAACTTTGCGAAGTGTGAGCTTCATTTTGGGACGGAGGGAGTATATGAACTATGAAGTGCTTATGTCTTTGAACTTTGTAACTCAATTACAAAATGTTCACATATTTTTATTTCATTGAACCATTTTTATTCTTACTGTGATTGATTATTCATCAGCAAAAGAATCTTTGTGAGATTAAGCAACTTTTGAGGGATACTGAGCTCGAAGATGGCCGGAAACGGGAACTGTCAAGTGCTCTCCATGTGCTCTTCAAGGAGTGGTTATATGGTAAATAGTGACTATTGCACACTTTATTATTTTCCCATTGTTCCTTTTACATGTATCATTATATGCATATAAATCATGCACTCTATACACTTCATAGAATAAGCCCCCTGGTTTGAAACCGATCCTTAGGGAAATAAATGGAATTCCTTGCATCTATCCGTGTTTATTTTGATGCAGAAATATATACATATTCTATTAAATGCCTGAATTTGGTTAATTCATTTGAAAACAACACAGCTTCAGGGAATGTGAGACAACTTTACTGCTTACAAGGAGAATAGACTTTATGATTTGGACTTTGGTTATTTGCAAATCTAGAGCTCTTGGGATGGATCATCATGGAGCCATACGGTCGTAAACTAACTTCTTGCTCTGTAGTATGACGATGATCGTTATTACTATTATTATTATTATTATTATTGTTATTATTATTATTATTATTTTAATATTATTATAATTTAAAAGTAGAGCAAAATCTTTTGTGATTTAGTTTTGAACCTAAAGAAATTCAAAGCAATGCTTCTGCCCATGCAAAGGCAAGCACATGTGCTAAGTGAGGTCTTACCCCCCTTTTTTTCCCTCTTATTTTCCTCTTTCTTCTTCCTCGTGTAATTTTCTTCCCGTGTATCTAATAAATCTCAACTTGGTGTTCCATTATTGTTGGTTTATGAAAATTATGGCTTTCATTGCAAGAGTTGAAATATTAATCAAGCTCCGTTTGGTACACGGAATTCAAGTTATGCAATTGGAATTATGGACAAGAATTCCAATTCTGCTGCTTGGAAGTAGTACAAAAACATGTGAATTTAGAATTGGTAGCGCCAAAAATAATTTCTATCCAAATCAATTCAATAGATATTCAACTTTCTGTTCAATTTCAATTCCGTCAATTCTGTGTACCAAACAGAGTGTAATTCGAGTTCTAGATTGTTGATTAGCGTTTTTTAATTAATTTGGCTGTCAAGATTGTGGGATTGTATTATTTGTGCTTGCCTGCTTCATGTGTTACACTAAAGTTTTTTTTTTGTTGCCAAATAAAATTTAAACGACACTTATATACTTATATTTGGAATTGTTAGAAAAGTGAGTATTTCCTAGCTGAGATTGAATTTGAATAGTTATTGGTTTGGATGAGTTAGTTGCCTAATTTTATTTCCGTTGGCATCAATTATAATTGCATCATTTATTAGAGGGAATTAGATAAAGTGAAAACTACTTTTGGAAACAAAATTTAAAAATACTTCGGTCCTTCCGCTTCAAGTAATTATTACTCTTCTCCTTCTCCTAGTTTAATTAGGTGTTAACTAGCAGAATTTGTACTCTTTATAAAGGACTCACTACTTGGATTGGCAGTATAGCTCATATCCTCTTACTTCGCTCATAATTTGTACCCTACAATAATGGTTGCCACTCTCCATAACGTTGTTTTTCACGGTTCGAGTCTTAACGTCACCGTCACTAAATGCGCCTCCGAGGTTGATCGTTGGATTACCGCCACCGTCTGCTACTACCGCCGAGGCCTTGGACTCTCCAACCTCCTCGTCGGCCTCGACATCGAGTGGCACCCTTGCAAGCCATGGGAGACCAACCCCGTCGCCACTCTCCAGTTGTGTGTTGAGAAAAATTGCTTGATTTTCCAGATTCTGAAGAAGGACTTCATGCCTTGTGCCCTACGCCTCTTTCTCCGCGACCCGTTCGTCACGTTCGTGGGCGTTGGCGTCCGAGAAGACGCCGAAAAGCTCTTCCGCGATTGCGGCCTCGTCGTGACTAGGGTTATGGATCTGCGACCCATGGCGGCGAGCGTTTACCGCTCCGAGGCGTTTCTAAAGATAGGGTTGAAGAAGATGGCGATGCAAGTCTTGGGGGCGGCGATGGAGAAGCCGCTCTCCGTTACATTGAGTGATTGGGACGCCGAAGAGCTGAGCTTCGAACAGATTGAATACGGAGCGATCGACGCGTTTGTGTCGTTTCTGATCGGGATAAGACTACTCACGGTGGCGGGAAGGCTTCCGATGAGCCGAAGGCAATTTGGGCGATCAATTCCGACTCCACTCTGCCCAATTTCACCCTGTTGCTAGATCGAGTTATATGATTAGTGGCTTTTAAGACTTAATTATTGGTTTAAGATTTTTACTCGTATTATTGAAAAAAATTTGTTGTAAATTCCAATTACTGTGAAGTGCAACATCGCTTGTCTTGAATAGCAATTTTTAGTGTATTACGGAGTAATATTTTAATAAATCAATATTGTTTTTTTAGTGTAATAACGTATGGAATAAATCATTAGCTCAAAGATAAAATTAAAGTGTACAGAGTAGTTTTAAAGAAGTATTTTATCATTTGAGAAGGTGATAAAACGGTCAAAACAAAATTGAAAAAGTGACACTCTTTTGTTTAAAAATTTGAAAGATTTGAGTTAAGTGATTTCACATTTTTTTCAAAGTTTGTGTGTGTGAGAGATTTATATTATGTACTGTATTTTGTATAAATTTTTACCATACATATTTATGCTCGTTCTGTAGACTCAATCTCAAATATTCACAAGATTTTATTAAAAAAATGTATTTTAAAAATAAAAGTATGTCTAGTGAAAAGTAAAAAAATACGCAGTTAAAATTTAGAGGATTAAATGCTTACAAGGCCCCTATATTTTCTCGAAAGTACGTTCGAAGTCCTTGAATTATTTTAAATACTTACTAAGTCATTATACATTTTTAAAAATTTATGGTATAACGTAACGTCATTTTTTACAATGGCTTTGTTTTAAAAAAACTACCAAAGCGACTCAGAGTATTTGGGGAAAAAACTAAAGTAGGAGTAAAACATTTAAAATATACCAAAATAGAAGTTTATATTTTTTCATGAAATAGGAGTTAAAGTGCATTTACATTAACAGTTATGACCATGTACATTACCAAAAGTATAGTAAAATATACATGTACAGTGTCATATTACCACAATGGGAACTCCTATTTAGGATATAAAAACTTGGAACTCCTAGATTGATAGTTTCTCTATGTTTTTATTCTTATTTAGGATTATTTCTCGAGTATTTGTTTATATTTTCAAAATATTGTTTTATCTAAGTAATATACAATATATATTTTATAATTATAGGTCAAAGGTTGAAAACGGTTAACTAAAAAAGTCAAAATTGAACAAACACTCCGAGACGGAGGTAGTTTGAGTTTGTCTTTTGCCTACAAAAATACAGTGTATTACTCCGTATTTTCTAATTATAACTCATCAATTCGATCTACACATTATTTCCTACCTACTGGCGGATGTAGTATATATTAGTTGGGGGCCAATTTCCCCTACTAATTTTTTTTGCCCCCAACTAAAATTAAGGAGACGCCATGTAAATAGTTTAATTTTTACCTTTTTGTTTAATTGTTTTTAAAAAGTGTTTTTATTACATATAAATATTGCTCGTAAAATAAATATTTACATTACCTATTGATAAAAGCTTCACTTTCAATAAATGTTTGAAGTAAAATTCATTATTTTATGTCATTTCTTATCACGAAGTACCTATTTTTTTATAAACAAAACATCCTGGGGCAGCGCCCCTGGATCCCTGATCCATGGTGCCCCAACTGTCTTAATTCCTGGATCCGTCACGATTCTACCTTGTTAATTATTACTCCGTAGTAAAGACAAAATTAGAAAATAATATCAAAATTTTGAATTTTTAAAGTGTCCTTTTTCGTGTTTGAAAAGGTTTAATCATACCAAGGAAGTATAAGAAAAATGTAAAATCAATTAAAGATATGACACGAGAATGTTCCATAGGTTTTGGGTCATTAGCGGTTTTCTGTTTATAATCTAGTTTTGTATAAACTTTTTACTTTAATTTCTTACTCTTCTACCAATACATATTTCATCATAGTAAAATATTTTTAAATTCCAAACAATTATTTTATTTTTGAAAAATGAAATATAAACTTAATTGTTAAAAATAAATATTTTATGTAAAATTTTAGAAACACTCACGGCTCACACCATTTTTTTTATTACTTTTTTTGGACAGAATGCAAATATTATAGATAACAAAAACTTCAGTACAAGATTATTTTTAAAAGATAAACATATAAATAAGTTTTAAGATGTACATCATTGTTAACATTATATCAATAATTTGATAAAACTGGCTTTCAACACGTTATATATTGATTATAATCTTATTTAAATTTCCATTACTCATAAAATGCAATTAAGTACTGTATCTTATTGAAAAAACTGAGGCAAGACTTGAGGCAGACCAACAAAAATCATTTTTTTCTTGCTTTGAAGAATATGGTTTTCCTGAAAAATATTTTCCTATCATTTATACTAGCAAACGTAGAAAATTTATAGAAAATTTTTTAGACCTGACCCGAAGATGGGGGTTTCGAACAGATAATGCTTTATTGACCAAATCTATAGATAATCGAACACGAAATGTTGCGCTAAAAATAGGTCAAATTTAAATTGATATACTAAAAAAATGTAATAAAAATAAGGTTATGCTATTATTTTTATTTTTTTACTAATTACACATTTGTAGTGTATAAACCTATACCTTCAAAAATGGTTTTTTATGACATAACATAGTTACCTTGTAGTTTTTTCAAAGTTGGTACATATTTAATTGTTTTATACTATTTAATTTTTTAAAAATATACGGAGTATCTAAAAATTAATTACAATTTTATTTAAAAAAACAGAGCATTCCATTGTCTTTAAAATATCCGTATGTGTCTTGATATATACTCCGTATATTTTTTAAATTAGTAGTGCAAAATGTAATTGCTAGTATTAATTTAAATTTTCAAAATATAAATCTTATAACTTGTTGATTCGACTTGAATCTGATGACGCCGAATCATTAACATACAATTCAATGAATCCAAACGTACTCGAATTTCATATAACGCTAACTCGAAGTTACCGAATCTGAACTTGACCCAACCGACCAATTCACCGGCTCTACTTATTTTTATTCATTCATTTTTTTGTTGAAAATTTCATTTATTCATTTAGTTAGTACCAATTACTGTATACTTTTTACAATATTTTCTTTTCAAATTGAAGTGCACTTGTAATAATATAATTCATTTATTACTTAAGGATAAATACACACGAAACCAATAAGTACATCTTGATGTACCATATAATTTATTTAATTTTTTAGAGGGAAAAGAAATAAGAGCATTCAATTATTTAGTGGCATTCAATAATACTAAAGAGAAGTAACTACATTATAAGTGTAGAGGAAAATTAAAAATCATATCAGCACATATTATGTGACGATGTGATATTTTCAAATTCTCATAACGTAAATTTAAAATTCACATTGGTATAGCAAAAATGAATTGTTCATAATTTAAAAATTTATAAAGTGTAATACTAAATACTCCGTAGATCACTTTACGAAAATAAATAAATACTCCATAAATAACTTGAGTTTATATCGTTTAATAATGTAATTAGGGAGCTAAAATTCACTGCCAGTTAATGTCGTTTCAACGAAACATAATTATGTAATATTACAAAATTACAATTGAAAAAAGTCCATTTTATAATTTTATTTATGAAGATAGGGTTGAAGAAGATGTCGATGCAAGTTTTGGGGGCGGTGATGGAGAAGCCACTCGCCGTCACTTTGAGTGATTGGGACGCCGAAGAGCTCAGCTTTGAACAGATTGAATACGGAGCGAATAATGCGTTTGTGTCGTTTCAAATTGGGATGGATCTCATCACAACAGCAAGAAAGCTTGCGATGAACCATATGCAAGGAAAACAATTTGGGCGATCCATTCCAACTTCACTCCGCCCAATCCCCCTTGTTGCTAGAAAGTACTTTCTTTAGTGGAGTTTCTAGTTTCTTGGTTTTTATTTTTGAAAAAAAATTGTGTTGGAGAATTAATTCTGGTCAATCTCTGTGAACTGCGTCACTTGTCTGTATGGATCAAAACTAGTACTGAGTTGTAATTTCATTTGATGAAAAGTGAAAATTACTATTTGTGTTTACCAAGATTTATTCTCGTTTGATCACAGCACTTAAACATTGACCACATGGATATGGAAGTAGTAGAAAATCTTTTACATTATGAGAAAAAAATTGACCACATCAATCCCAATTGTACCCTTTCCGCTTTGGGTGGTCAAATTTTCCTACTTATTACAATTAGTAGTAACATAAAACTGGACAACAATGGACAGTCCCCAGCAGCCATGGAAGAAGAAAAAAAGAACACACATTTTCGGGTCGTTCGCCACAGGAAGAAGAAGAAGTACGAGAGAAAAAGGTTCTCTCATTCGGCGGTGGCATGGCGTTTGGGCTGGGTGGAATAGGGATAATATTCCTTACCGTTGTCAACGCGTGTCGTCTGACCTCCGGCGTCAATCACAGCTGAGGTAACTGCAAGCGCCGCTCCTGCTGAGATCGCTGTCGAAATGCTCTTTCCTGTGCAAACCAAATATTCAATTGAATGTTCGTATGCAACAACAATAGCAACCCAGTAAAATCCCACAAGGCGTAAAGATGAAACGAAAAGAGTTAACATTGCTACACTTAGATTTAGGTTTTGTGTTTTTTATCTAATCATCAAGTTTATCTTATTTCGTTGTACACCAGCAGTAAACGTAGTGTTTTAGCAAGCAGAAGCAATAGGGTAAAATTTCTTACTTCATAGTCCATAGTGTTTTTGTCCTATCGTCCATACTTCGTAGTGGGTGAGTCTAATTTCATAGGCTCTTTTATCTAATAATCAACTATAGCTATATTTTAACTTTTTTATGTTGTGATGGACTTTAATCCACTGGAATATATGAATCATGATGTGAATAATATGAAAGAAATAATAACGGGGAAAACTATACGAAGCCCCTGTGCATTAAAAGTTTGATCACTACTCCAGAGAATGTGAGGATATATTTATAGGGTACAAGAGGCCAACCAACCATGCGAAACAACCTCCCATGGTTCAAGCAGACACGGGATTGTGGCCCATGATCATAAGAGATCATGGGGGACGTAGGGGAGATCACGGGATCACCTCGATCTTGTCTGCCTACCCAAGCTACTACCCAACCCACCACTTGGCAGATTCCCAGCTTGGGTTAGCCCGAGTCATTTCATGTGGGCTGCATGCTCTTACCAACTACCGAGTGGGCTTTGATTGTCTGGCCTGGGTATAAATGTATGGGCAGTCCCAATGTACCCATCATGTTTATTTAACTAAAGTTAGCATGCTCAACATTATCGGAACACCTTTTTATTAAATATAATCATTCAATATCATGAAACAATTTATTAATCCTCAAACTTGTCTTTTTTTGGGATAAAAACAGATTTTCAAAGAGGGAATAAATGTCTTCTAAACTACGGAGTATTAACTAAACTTTTTTCTGGAGAAATTACATGAGTTTAGTGAAATCTTCATTGACTGAAATAGAATCTTTTTATGGAAGAAAAACAAGTTATGAGGCAAGTCATCATCCATTTAGATATAGCAGTCACAATTTTAAAAACTTCAACAAAAGCTACCAAACATGCTCACAGAAGTAAAAAACATTAGTTGAAGATGTTATCCACCATACCTCTATAACCAAGCACAGAAGCACCAGCTGCAAATCCACCAACAGCGCCATTAATGAAGTCCCTTTTCATACGATAGTTCTGCATCAGCTGCTCCACACCAATATACACTCCGCCTATAGCAGCAAATGTCAAGCCATGATTGCCCATCATTTTCAACGTCCGCACCAGACCAGGAAGCGCAACACTTCTTTCCACACGTGGCACATCGTACCATGTTGCAACAATGGTGCCCCAAATAGTGCCCGCAACTAGACCAGTGGTTGCACCTTTTATAGTTTTCGTCACTGGGGTATCCTCATCCTCATAGTATCTCAGCTCGTCGCCTGCAGGGTCCATACCTAGAAAAAATCCGTGACACATACGCAGTTTGAGGAAGGATGGAACCAACATGTTTTTGAAGTGTATACCATACATAAAGAAACAAAATGATATTCACAGCCACATCAACACTTCAACTTTAATCTCATATCAATTGTGCCAACTACTGAACCAAGAAATAATCACATAGGCCATCCATGTGTATCTTTTCTATTCTAGTATTACAATATACACATATTAACATACACCATTAATCTTCATTATTTTCTCTCTTAATATCCTAACATGTTGATTCATTTATTAAGCATCGTATAATGACAGTAGTATAAATGTTTTCTTAACTCTTAGACACATTATTGACATACCAATATCGCTACAATTCATTTTAAACGAATTGCATCGATGGTGTGTGTGTGTCGCATCTTGATAATTTTTCTATATCTTTATACTTCTTCTGTTCCTCTTTATCTGTCTAAGTTGACCAAATCATGCAATTTAAAAAAATGATTTCCTGAAAAAAGTGACTATACTAACAGAAACAGAGATAAAAGTAGACTCTCCAGCATAGAAGAACCTGAGTTGATTGCTAATATGTGGATATGTTTGGCAAGCAAAACAGGTGCCTTATTGACTACAATGAACTCATTTAACTGCCATTCCGTTAAATAGTTTAAGCTGTGTTTGGTAAACACATTTGACTATCAAATAGCTTGTGTTGGTTCAGCTTCGTGGAATAAAATAAGTTAAATGGAGTAACTGAACAAAAACCAGGCGCCTTTTACAGATAAAAAAATTCAATCACCTTTTCAGTTTGTAGGCATCTTTTATGTTTTCAGTCACCATTTCAGGTTGTTTTGCCAAACATAGACATGTCCAACCTCTAAAGCTTTCTTAGATTTGTTTAAAAATTGGTTGTTTGTACTTTAAAATGCACGGTGGGAATTGTGTAGAGAATTTTTTACTCCAAGACTCAAACTCTATCAACAAGGATAGCTATTCCGTCTTTCCAAACACAACAACACAGTAGAATCCTGCGACAGTAGGGTCTTGGAAGAGAGTGTGCACACAAACCTTACCCATACTAAAAAATAGATAGGTTGCTTCCAAGAGACCCCCAGCTCGAACAATAAAGAAAGCATAGAGGACGAGCAAAGAGCAAGCTAAGGGTAGAAAAAAGCGCAGAGACAAAAAAACACCAAACATAGAAAGAACTCAACGACAAGAGAAAAAAACTACCACTGAGACTCAAAAGACGACCCAACTACCCTAGTCCTAGATCAAACTCTTATCTAAGGTCATATCTTCAATCATGGCCAAAAGTCCTGTGCTGTCTAAAATATATATTGCCACATAACATGTACAATTTTCAAACCAAATAAATTTTTCGGATACCATACATTTAAAGTTTTGTGTTATAATGACAGGAGCTAAAGTAACATTTTGACAGAGGGGATATCATAATCAATACTGGGCAACAAGCTACTCCCTACAGCCAAAATAACTTTTGTTTTACAAAAGCAAACACATATTAAGAAATCTTATAATATGACTGACCTATCCTCAATTAACTATAACAATAAATGCATTCTAAAAATTCAATTTTTTTACTCATCTGCAAAGAATGTAGGGGCAAAAATAGCTCATGCTCTCACTCTATGTGATGGACTTTAATACACCGGGAATATGGAGAACCATGGACACTAGATCGTAAAGAATTACAGAGAGATGTTATCCTCTCTCCATGGAGGATATGTATTAATAGCATGAAAGAGGTCAATCTTAATGTCAACTCATGAGAAAGCCACGACCCACCTTCCTAAGGAACATGTGGATTGTGCACCATGATAAGATCAAGTGATTGACATCTTGTCCTTTAACCTTAGTGCCTCCCTCAACTGCAACCAATCCCATGATAGATTGGATCCTCACATTCGAGTCCGTTCAACTCGACCCATTTTATGTGGCCATTGGATCCTCTCTGGACCCAAATACAAATATTAATTGTGGAATGGAGAAGGTAATGTGGCCTAAACCGTTTACACTCTGGGGCCTGTTCCAATTAACCCATCACCAAGAACTCAACTAAAAAAATCTCAATTTTATCACATCAGCAACACTTCATATGTGAAAAACACCTTTGCCTAAGCAGTTTCATTTTCAAAGAACTGCAGTCAAAGCTGATTTCTTAATGTAATTGATACAAGAAATATTGATAATTAAAATGTATCCTTTTAAACTAACAAATTCACCTACAATCTCCTATAATCAAGTCTGTGATTATATCCTTAAAAGCTACTGTAATACGAGAAATATTGAAAAATTAAAATGTATACTTGAAACTAACAAATTCTCCTACAATCTCCTACAACCAGTCCATGATTATATCTTAAAAATCTACTGTAATACTTTGGTGAAACGTAAAGCTGGAGTGTAGAGAATGGGATTCATGAATGGATTTTAGTTGTTGTCCTAGATCTAGAAACTGGTTAATGAGATGAACATCTCAAAAAAATTGAGCTTCGTATCCGGAAAATTGATGAAATAAGTCACAGTTTCTGAAGCTTTTTGAGCCGGAGAGAAAGAAAGGAGAAGAAGAAATACCTTCTAAGGAGGATAAGGAAGAGCTATGGAGTCTTCTCTCTGTGAAGTAGAAATGGAGAAGAAGCTGGAGCTGAATGGAATGATGTGGAGGAAGCTTGTGAAGATCATGTGATGTGAAATTGTTGGGCCACTCTAAGAATCAAAACTTGGATTGGGCCCTTATGTTAAGGCCCTTATATTACATATCACAATTCTGGACTTAAAATTTTTAAAATTAATCCATACTCTAAATAAATTTATGTGCAAAATCCGAGAGCTAAATTAAAAAAGTTGTTATCAAACCAAGCCTTATTACATGATTTTTAACATGTTTTCTTTTTATTTCTAGGTTCAATTCATTGAAATTAATGTGTCAAATAGTCATTCAAGTCTCTCTAATTCTAAGAAATAGTCTACATTTGTCCACTTTGATTTTTTTACAGTTAAAATAAACAATTTTTTATCATTAATTAAATAAATATTACATTATATATCAATAAAATTTAAAATAAATTTTTTATTATATTTTACAATGTAAGTCTAAATAAACCATTTATGTACTAATATGTAATGTTATTTTTATTTAATTTATGATTAAAGTTTATCCGAATTGACGTAAGGAGTAAGAAGACGACAAGATAGTGTATGGTGAATGTCAGTGCAAAATCATCCGTCATTTGGTTCACAACTTTAACATTAGTTCTCTAGGGATAAAAATATTATATGTCACATAAAAATTGTCTATTTTTATGAAATCTAACACGAATATTGAAAGTAAAAAGTGCGTGAGATGAAATTCGGAGAGACGTTTTGTAAACAATGTGTTCTTTTTCTTGAGGAATGATTAAAAAATGAGAGAAGTCAGACAACTATTAGGGGCAGCTGAACACTCATCTATCACTCATGTGTATATGCATTGGTTCATGTAAAAAAGGCATCTCATATACACAAACAATGGGAATGTGAACTGTATGTATGTATGTATGTTCATTTATATGGCTAATAAGTGTTCATCAGATGGAGTAGTAGCTATGTGTTGGGGAAGAAATGAAGTGGGTGCTGGTTGACCGAAACGACCGGTCAAAGGGATCGGCCGATACTACGTCTTCGTTCCTCCTCCTCCTGCTGCCACCGCCACATCCACCTGATGATTTCTGCACCAGACACATCAATGCCTCCACCACTTCACTCATTGGCGCCCTGAACTCCTCAGCCTGCTTCATCAAATGTCGTCCCATAAATACAACAGAAACGGTCACCTCGCGGGCCCCGAGTGGCCAGTAACTCTCGTGGGGCCCGCGGTGTGCGAGGGAGTTACGATAATATCCAAAATGTGGGCAAAACAAAGGCAAAGGGTTAAGGATAGTATGTACCTGAAGGCAGAGCAAGACAATGTCAGCCAGGTGAGAGAGTGTCTTTGGGGGGATCGTGTTTCGGATGATGGGGTCCACCATCTGCGCCAACGAAGCGTTGTCATGCAGCCTGGGTATTGACCATTGCACCAGATCACCCCGCTCCTCTTCGGAACGCCGCCTTCCTGTTAGGAGCTCAAGGAGCAAAACCCCAAAGGCATAGACATCTTCCTTTGTGCTCCGAATCCTCCCTTGCACATCATCATCTTGTGATGCTCCATAACCGAACTCGGTCAGGTGATTTAAGGTTGCCAGGCCACATTCGGAAACATGAGGCCTTAGATCCTCATCTAGCAAGATCCTGGAAGCCATCAAGTTTCCATGGGCAATCGGAGGGACGCATGAAGAATGCATGTAGCTGGAACAAAACCCGGAGAATATATATTATATTACACTATATATATTACGTCGTGTCGTATTCAAGAAAACACTTCTTTAGATTCTTACTTCAGTGCTCTGGAAACCCCAACTGCAACGCGGAGACGGAGGCTCCAAGACAAATTCATGGAGGCATCGTTGTGCAAGGCATCACTGAGGGACACATTCCTTATATGCTCATAGACTAGGACACAATGGCCAGCCTCCAATGTGTAGCCAATGAGTGTGATTATGTTTGGGTGCCTTAATCGTGACGCGGTCCTAACCAAATCCAACAATTGTTCTTCGACTAGTGTGGGTTCCCCAATGTTAATCCGGTTCACAATAGACAACTTGCAGAAAAAAGAACGAAAGAAAGAAATTCAGCAAGAGATAATCACAGTTTAACAAGCTGATGTATTACTACTTGTAGTAGTATTAAATATTACCTGCCCATTGGAAAACTCTGCTCTGTAAATGTATCCGAAGCATCCCTCCCCGATAAGATTTTCTTGACTGAAGCCATTCGTCGCTGATTCAATCTCTGCCATGGCGTACGGCTTCACACACATTGGGATTTCACAGATCTTGGAAGAACATATTGAGGACGTACTCGCAGCTCTTGCAGGAGGAGGTTGTAGCTACAGCCAAGAAACCATTAATTAAGGTACATTTAGATTAACCAAAATGCACATATACCCCTAGAGCTCTTGCATTTTCTAAAGCTAAACAAAACAAAAGGAAACAACTTGCTTAGCATTTTGATTCTTTCTTCTTCTTCTTTCCCTAGCATCCAAACATACCCCTAGAGGTTCTCGAAGAGATCTGATTCTTGATGATTGGCGGCTGTCTTCTTGAGCTGCAGCTGAAAGGTCTGCAATTTCAGAGATCAAAGTAAGAAAGGTTCATCTTCTCTCATTTCCTTTCTGATATCATGACTCATAAGATCACATATGTAACCTATAACAGTAGAATTGGTTGGACAAGAATGTCTTGAGCTCTCCTTTCCTTTTGTGATGCCTAACAACTGCTTATGAGATCCACAGAGCCACACAAAAACCAAAACACCTCCACTGATTGCCACAATAGTGGCTCCAATTACAATAACAAATAACCCTTCAATGCTTAGTCTTTTTTTCCTCTTGTGCCCTCCAATCTGAGTAGATGGTGGACCTAATGGGCTGCTGCTAGCATTCCGCTCCTCGTGCAAGAAATCAAGAGGGAAATTCCAGGGGGTGTAGTTCTCTATTCTGTCGAACCTATTACCGCCTAACCTATTTAAAGACAAAGGACAGAACAATGTATGCAGAATGATTAAGCAGAGAAAAGGAAACTAAAACCGAATGAAAACATGTAAAAGTAGTGAAATGGCTTGCTTCACTTCACCATAGGTTTCTAATCTCTTGAAAAGTTTCTGGGATCACGCCACTGAAATGGTTGTCTTCAATGTTCCTGTGAAAAGCATAAAAAAGTGAAAAAATGAACACATCACAAGATTCTTGAAGCTTGAGATATGGATAAACTAACAGGTCTCTCAATGGCAGCTGAGACAAAAGATTGACTGATCCAGTGAGTGAGTTGTTTTGCAGAAACCTACAATTACCACATATGTTGTTTAGAATCATGCAACATGAGAGAAGCAGCTCATGCTAATGTGAATAAAGAGAAAGAGAGAGAGATAAACTTACAATGCTGCCAGGTTTGTTAAGGCAGCAAATGAACTAGGTAGATCTCCAGTGAGGTTATTATATGATAGATCCCTGGGATAAGAAGTTCAAGTTATTACCCATTATAAAACCTAAAATAGTAGGTTGAGATTAAGGTAAACTTGTTAAAAACCCATGTTAAGAGATGGCCTACATCTCTATCAGATTCCCCAAGCCACTGAAATCTCCCAATGGTCCAGTTAATATGTTGTGGCTCAGATTCCTGCAAAGCAATGATGGAGAACACTCTGGTAACATATCCTTGGCTGTGTTTGGAATCCAGAAATGGTAAACAAAAATGCCAAAGAAAATATTGTAGTTTCTGGGTTCCAAGCACACCCCGACAACTTGTGTAAGATCTCTACTACTCACAGGTTTTTGAGTGTTTTTAGGCCCGACAAAGAATCGGGAATTCTCCCACTGAAATTGTTGAATGCCAAACTCCTGGAATTCCCATGTTAAGACGGTTAAATCATTCTCACAAGATGACGGTTTCGCGACAAATTAACTCCACTAAGAATAGACAAGGAAGTTTTTTCTCACAAGCTTGTAAGGTTAAGTGGAAATCCCAATGAGATTTCACCTTCAACATTATTGCTGCTCAAGTCCCTAAAAACAAGACGCGATTACACTAATACATTGGCAGTGATTATGGAGTACTAAACAAACTGCTACTAATCACTTACAGCTCTGTCAACTGTTGAAGATTTGAAATCTGGAAGTCTAAATGGCCAGTCAGGTTCAAACCATTAAGTTTACTGCAATGGATTATACATGAATCACCATATAATTAAAGAAGAAGCTCAGTCAATATGCATGTTAGAGTAATCCAGAACTGAAAACCAGTTTCAACCAAAGGGAATGAATTATAAGAAATTGTGTACATGTGAATCACCGATGAATCCAAACAGGAAACTCCCACCCAATGATCCTCGCACGGGTCACCACCCTCGACTCCCCAGTTTTCCAGTTGGGGCGGACAGTTCAGGGCTTTATACATCTCTCTGAGAGTTTGAACTGGAAAAAATACAAGCACAATAATCAGAGATCAGAGAAATAGATCAAATGTGAATTTCAACAACCAATTTTCCAATCAAACATTCCCCGAGAATGGAATTATTCATCGAAATTATGAAATCCCAAGACCATAAATCCCAAAATCCAAACGATCGATGATTGGGTCAACACCTCGCACTGAGAACCCAGAAAAAGAGTTGATGATCGAAGCGTTCCAAGTAAAATTGAAACTAATACAGTTAAAAACAATCTTCGTGTTCTTGAATAGATCAAACAGGTCACCTTCGAGTTCGTCTTTGCGGGAGAATGCTAGACAAGCCAGGGCAGCAAACATAGACGCATTGAGCCAAAACCACAAACTCCGACTAGACATCTCCAGCGAGACAAAGGAAATCCGACTCTGGGTTCTTCAATTTGGGAGCTAATAATCATCAAAAAAAAAGAATTTTAAGCTGTACTGGAAACGCATGCAATAGGAAGATTCTAAGTAAATATTCAAAGATTGAGCGAATTCGCATAAATGTTCTTTGGTCTTTAGAGGGATATTGAAGCTTTACCGGAAATTATGGAGGCGTGAAAAGGCTTGGGTTTCTTGGAACGGAAGTGGTTTTACAGTAGGAGAAATGTTGTTATGGAGAGAATGGAAGGAGAAGAGGAAGAAGATGAAGTTAGACAGTTAGGCAGTTACAGGCGCGTGGCGTCTACTCGCTCGTCTCCACTGACGTGTACTCTGCGCGCTTAAACCTTTTGCTTTCCCGCTACTTTCCGTTTTCTCAAAAAAAAATAGTGTTTGATTTTAAAGGAATCTTTAAAAAAATGTTTTAGAAAAAAAGAGAAAATGTTATGTTTAACATTTATTTAGGTGAAAGTGGTAAGTTAAAAGTCACTAATTGCTTTCTATAAATTAAAAAAACACACAGGTAAAATTTTTTGTAACATATTGAAAAAAATGTAATTTTTGCAGTACAAGGAGTAAACGTAACACTTTCTTCTTTAGATTGCCCCAAAATTAACTTATTCACTTACTGATTTATTTCTTTTAGTCTCCGTCCCTAAATAAAGTTCCATTTTTGACTTTTTGAGGATTTAAGGGAGGGATATTTTTGTGTTGACTTTCCAAAAATACCTTTGATGTGATATGTAAAAGTAAGATGTGATAGGTAAATTATTAGTAAAAAGGTATGATGTGATAGGTAGAATATGAAAAAGTAAAGGATAAAAAAGGTTTTTTAAGAAAAAAAAGAAGTTTATTTAGGAACAAAGAAAAAACGAAAGTGGAAGTTTATTTAGGGACGGAGGAAGTATATATATATACACACACATTTATACATACACACATAAAAACAAAAATATTGATTTAAAACAATTTTAAATTCAAAGTATGATTAAAAAAACATATTTGGGTCTTGCATCTATAACCCTATAGTTATGGCCCTTTAGGCCGACCTATATCATAAATACATAAGTCACTCATACCCCTCCCACATTTATTTCTCTCTCTTTAAAAAATAGAAAAAAAAATGCTAGGGGTACACTTTATCACCACAAAAAAAAAGCAAGAAAAATCAAAAAAAATAAAAAATAAAAATAAAATAAAATAAATGATAGAAAAGAGAGTGGTGTACATTTGGGGTACACATTTGGTGTACCCCTAGCATATCCCTAGAAAAAATTATAATTATCTTTTCAAAAATGCTAGGGGTACACCATTTGGGGTACCCCATTTGTACCTCCCTCCATCTCCACCACACAAAGCAAGAGAGAGAGAAAAAAAATTAAAAATAAAAAAATAAATGAAGGGCTAGGATGCATGATGTACAAAATGGGGTATTCCTAGCTTTCCTCTTATCTTTTAGTGATCTTACAAAATTAATTTCAATTTCTAATCTTACGCGTAATAATCTCACCTTATTGTGTGTGTGAGTTTAGGTCACTCTTTGAGAGAAATAGGTGATCTAACATTTAAAAAAAAAATCTTATTTTGTACAAAGAAATGAAAAATGAAATTACTTCACATAAAAAGTTTTTTAAATTTTTTTAAAATTTACATCACATTTTTATAAACTTGATAAAATATAACAACTCACAATTTTTGTCAAGTTGTCAATCTTTTAAAATATAACAACTCACAATTTTTGAAGTGTCATTTTGAAAAAAACAATATCTATTTGTACAATCGTTTCGGGGGAAATGTTAGGGAAGAGTAATGTGTTGGGTGGATTGGAACGGTGCGGTAGGAAATTAACCCGTTTGGAACCATTTTGGATAATTATGCGGGTTTGTCGGTGAATTGGCAGAATTTGGAATATTTGGGTCAATTTGGGGTCGATAACAATTAAAATTCTCCAAAGATCGACAGGGACCTTGCGTTGGTGTTCGTCGTCTTGACATCGGGCAGTGGCTTGCCGCAGAATATCGGCATTATTCGTCCCGCTCTTTCGAGACTGAGAGCATTCCTCGTAAACTCCAATAAACTTTTGGACTTTACGGTTTATGTGACTCCATTTGAAAGTGAGTTGGTCTCGGGTTTGCTAGGATGCGTCCTTCACCCAAGTTGTGATTTTTTAGTTTAAAAATGAGTTAATTTATAGATAAGAAAGATTTTTTATAAAAAAAAAGTTGTAACAGCATTATAGCCGTTGGAATGAGAGATCCACTGCATTTGAAGCGTGAAACGTTTGACACTGGCGTAATAACGTCTCGATGAAGTCCCAGGGGGCGGCGTCTGCCCCGGGCCTTAAAAACGGCCTTAACGCCGGTGGGCATCGCACCCGTTCCCAACGCTCTAAGGTTGTCTAGAATCTAGATTCATTTTCCCAATAATGTAGGGAGCAATTATTTTTTCCAAAACTTCAAATAACAAATGATTTTATTCACTTTGATTTCAAAGTAATTCAAAATAATACAAGAAAACAATTAAAAATATATTAAGTTATGAAAAATGAGTAGATAAGATTCATCTTGAAAAGAAAAAAATTAATTCAAATCACGTATTCTCAGAAATGAAAAAAAATGAAAAAATAATTCTCGAAATGATTTACTTCGACTTCGTAATCAACCAAAGAAATTTTTAGATTTCTTGTAATAATATAGTTATTTGATAACTTCTTTTAAAAAAACCTAAATTATCCTTAGATTGCACAAAAAAAGGCTTGCCAAAAGTGTATTTATGAAGTCATCTTGTGCTAGTAGTCTCCAAACACAAATCCTAGTAGATGCCAACATTGGCAACAAAAGAATCTTAATAAGAACAAAAGATGTGATAATTCTCATTCTGATTCTGATTCAGAGACTCCAGTGAACATTCTGAAGGGATGAATCATAACCCCTTGAGTGCTCCTCCAATCCCACAAATTCTCTCCCATTTTCATTCTCTTGGTGATGAGCATTCATCCCGATCTCGTCCGGGTAATGAGTGTGATTACCCAAACCGAGATCGGGAAGCATCTCGTTCGAGCTGCTGGGGGTTGTGGAACCGGCCACCTTAAACCCCCACGGCGCGTTCGAATATTCAGAAGACGGGTGAACCGCGGGCGTCCCATCGGGTGCCCCGACAAAGCTATGATGGTTAACCTCGAGACCCAACGGGGGCGGGTTTCTAGATCCGCCCCAGGAGTGGTGGTGGTGGTGGTTTGACAGAAGAGAGAGAGCACGATTGGCGGCGGGTTGGACAACCGATGGGAACCCGCCGCCAAGGCATTCTCCCGAGGGAACATTGTTTGGGCCGCCACCGTGGTAAGTTGAGCCATGGAGGAGGAGCTCCGGTTGGGTCTCTAAAAACCTTCCACCCGGGGGAGGAGCGGTGGTGGTCCGGCCATCCCACGGTTGCCCGAACGATCTCGGGTCCGGCCAGGATTCCCTTCCGGTGGGGTTTTGGTATGAACTGAAGTCCATCAGATAACCCCCACCGCCTTTGCTGCTGCTGTTATCTGTCATTGTACAAAACCAAATTGTTTGGGGAAAAAGACCAATTTCACCCAAACTGTTCATAACATTTACACAAAATGACATTTGAAACTCACCAAACAAGTGGGAAGGGACGCCGGCAAAGCGGGGGGAGAAGAGAGTTCCCGGCGGAGGCTTTCTTCGCCGCTCATTATGGCCGGCTAGGCGCCTCCGGCAGCTCCTTTTTCCTTGATCAAATTCTGGCAATTGATGAAACCTGAAAAACAAACCATATTGAAGCCATTAGTGTCATCAACTAAAGATGTTACATTGTTTTCAGTGAATTTACGTAAATATCACAAAAACATAATGATTTTTTTTAAATAGCATCACTTTTAGTCATTATCTATGAGTCATTATTTAAGTAAATGATCGTTATCACTAGACATAATGAACATTATTCAGTGTTATTTAAGGAATAAAATAGTTTAAATGTTATTTAGAGAAATGACTTAAGTTTTAGTGCTATTTAATGCAAATATTTGTTGTTTTTATCCCATACATAAAATTTTGGCCGTGTAAGTAGTGATAGTGTTATAACAAGTCCCATTTTATAACGTTTCAGTTTACGATGTTTGACTAAAATTATTTTCAAACTATTTTATATGACAAATGGTATAGAATTAAAAAATAAAAATTACATATTAAAAAACTACATCAAAAGATCTACAAAACTAGTATTGACAATAATATTTTATTTTATCAAATTGCTAACGAAAATAGAGAAAGAAAGTGAATAAAGTTTGACCCTGTGAATAGTAAACAGACATTATAATTTAGGAGGGAAGGAGTAGTAACTAGTGGGAATATGATGGCGGGGAATAGTGGCAGTGTGGTGGTAGACCACCAATCAATACCATCGACCAGCGGCGGCACTCCGGCAAACGGTGGTAGTGTGTCAGTGTGACATTAACAAAATGAACTCTTATTTATAGAGTAGGTCACAAATGCAATATATATCGTACAACCGGTTGTACGGTATTTCCTGTATATTCATGGTAAGAACTCATTTACTATCAACTATATGTTCATTTCTGAGCATCTGAATATTCATTTTTCCTAAAATTCGAGAAAGTGAATACTCATTTTTTTCTAAGATGACACGGGCTCTTATGGGAGCATCTAAACCCCTTGGATTTCATTTCCAAAATTTTTACTGATTTTGGAGTCAAATTTTTTTAAGCCAATTAAATGAACCTGGGGTAAACTGAAAAATAGAGAATAGTCAAATGGAGAAATTTGACCAACCTGCTGCACTGCTGACAGAACCTCTGCTCAATTCCGGCGACGGTGACAGTCGGAGATTTGGAGTGCATAGCGCACACTTTGTGCCTCGAATAGTAGGCCTTGGCGTCACTCAGATCTTGGTTGCAGCCCTCCACCTGGCACCTCGCCGGCTGCCCGCCCTGCGCCACCGCGCCGCCGCTCCTCCCTTTCTTCGCCGGGAGAGAACTCGCCGCCGCAGACCCATTTCCGGACTTCCCCGCGTCTCCGAAATACGTCTCCTGGCCAATCTTCAAGCCAATGTTGAGGGACGAGTCGGCGGCGGCGGCGGCCGTGGAGGAGGAGGAGGAGGAGGAAAAAGAGCTCGAACCCAGTTCCATTTCCGGCGTCTCTAACTTATCAATTCCTTCGAATGTGAGTGGAAGTGGGAATGCTGAAAAGCCTCAAATCATTATGCTAATAATTTATGGGTGAATATATAAAGGAGATGAGTAGATGTACATGGTTGAACAGTGGGGTTTACAGAGAAAGGTGAAGTGGGGGACTGGGAGGGAGAAGAGAGACAGGTGACAGAAATGCCAGCTTGGGGGCTTGCTTGTGTAAAGAATCTCAACTCTCAAAAGAAAAATATAAAAACTAATAATGGAGATGCAAGTGTTACTCTCTCTATCCACTTCTCTACTACTACCTAGCTAGTCACTTAAAGTTCAAACCTAAGCTCTTCCATGACTGAGCTCCTATCAATAATGTAAAAGATTAAGTTATTTGTATCCCAAAATTTATACCTCAAATTATATGTTGCAAGTGTGTACATTCATTTTGTGCTAGCGTGATATTAGATTATGGTTTAGGCACAAAATATTAGTGTAAATTTTTTAATTGCACTAGTATTTTTGTGAACACTAGACATTTCCAGACTGTGCTTATAATTCTTGTACTAGAGGATTATATGAGTAGTACTATTAATTCTTTTGAGCTCTTCATATTCTCATCTTAATAGAGGGTATTTTGCTCTGATACCATTTGTGACACCCTGGCCCCACCCTAGCCGTAAGTGTCTTGCTCATAGGATTATAGCCCAAATTTCCCAGGAGGTCACCCATCCTAAAACTGCTCCAAGTCATGCACGCTTAACTCTGGAGTTTCTAGGTGATGAACTCTCGAAAAGAAGATGCACCTTGTTGGTATGAGTAGTACTATCAATCCTTTTAATCTCTTCCTATTCACATCTTAATACAGGGTATTACACTCAGACCATGTTATCTCAACATGACGTGTTCAGGTCGATGTGGCCAAGATTGCATCATAAAAAATGGAAGGTTCCCTATTGTGTTCATGAGGTGAAAAGTTTTCTAGGATTAGCATGTTCATCGATTGCTTCCTCATTTCACAAGTTACTGAAGAAAGACACCAAATTTGTGCGGGCACACAAGTACCAATAGAGTTTTAATTAGCTTAAAACGTATTTAACAGAAACATGAGTTTTAGTTAGTCAAACATGTACCTGGAGTGGAGTAAACATTTTGCGGTGACACCACATAACGGATTTGGTTATGTTATGAAAAAAAGGCAAAGGAGTGACCCTATGCATCTCGCTAGTTGAAACCTCAAGATTGCTAATATATGACGCATAATTTAGAGCTTGCATTTGTTGTGTTCGCATTAACAATTTGGCAACATTATTTGTTGGTGATAAGGCTTATATATTCATAGACCACAAGAGTTTGAGGTAGGTGTTAACTTAGATGAAGTTGAGTCTGAGTCTGTGGCAATGCAGATGGCTTAAACTAATTAAGGATTATGACTATAAGACCGATTATCATTGCATTTTAGATCTTTGAATTAACATTCTCTGTAGTATTTGAATACTAGTTGAGGCATCAACGACTTCAGCATTACTTCTTTCACGTTCAGATACTACCTTAGAAATATTTGAATGCCATGGCATCCAAAAAAAAATTTATTCTTTAAGTCCTTGATCATTCAAATACGAAACTTTAGTATTCAAATTAATACTAGCCACTTTTATTGCCAAAACTTGCTCGAGTTTTATATACTATTTGAATACATCATTCTTTCATGGACCTTTTGAGAAATTTTAGAAAATATAAAGGATTTATATAAAGCAACATTAACCAAAATAAAGCGTAATTCTAAAATATATGAGGCATTCACCCCTGAGAGTTGAGACCCTGCCGCCGATGGGTGCCGCCCTCGAACCCCCTTTAAGAAATTTGTTATATCATTAAGTGAACATGTACTCTACACATCCAACTTGTTATCAACGTTTATTGAAATTCTCGTCTAGTTTAGAATGAATACAATTATCCTAAATAACTAATGATGCTAAAATCCATAAAATTGTGTACATAGTTTGTGCTTTGTTACACAAATAGAGTCATCACATACTGATTAGCTAGCTCACTATATGATTGCTTGAGTTCAATCAATTTTGCTGGTTCAGCTATTACTCCACATCAAGTTCATTGTCACATCAGTGTTTGATCATAAAAATCTTTGATGGGATTACATTACAAATTTGAATTTTTGATTGAATTGGTTCTATAACATGTTATTAGAATATTGTTGATGAAGAGATCACGAATTCAAACCTCACCATCTCTTAATTTTAAAAATGTAATTGGAAAAAGAATATCATCAATTGAAATAAGACAACCATTATGGAATTAAATTGGGATATTACTAGTAAAAATATGTGTTTTGAGTTAGTTCGATCCATAACAGGCATACCAAAACCTCACATTTTGGGACTATATATGATAGAATTTAGGATGGGTACAGATAACTAGATTGGGTAATAAGACACTTGGGTTGAACTACATTAAAAGATTGAATCCAATTGATTAGTTAATTTAACTCAAGAGCTTATATACCGATTATTTTGCTCTTGAACTTTCGATGTGGGATGACACTCTAACAGAGCCACTCTGTTAGAGTGTCATCCTACATCGGAAGTTCAAGAGCAAAATAATCGGTATATAAGCTCTTGCGTTAAACTAACTAATCGATTGGATTCTCTTTTAATGTGGTTCAACTCAAGTGTCTTATTGCCCAATCCAGTTGTCTATACCCATCCCAAATTCTATCATGATATCGGAGCCTTGATGACCAAGAGATCACGAATTCAAAACTCACTGCCACGTTTGAGCTTTTGGTTGAGTTGCTTCTTTGACATGGTATCGGAGCCTTGATGACCAAGATGTCACGAATTCAAAACTCCCCGCCACGCTTGAGGTTTTGGTTGAGTTGCTACCTTGACATGATATCAGAGCAGGTTTTGGCCTACCTCGTTTATCAGGGTGTCTGTCTAGACGTTCATTCCTAGCGGCCCGTTTGTCTTTAGCCAGTTGTCCGTATGAAGTATGTACTCAACGGCATGTGGCCCGTTTAACATGATTGCTCGTTTGGAAGTCCATACCCAGCGGCTCGTTTGGAAGTCCATACCCAGTCCGTATAAAAAGTATTTTTATAAATACTTTTTGCCTAATAATAACAATAATAATTAGTCTTAATGAATTACTTTTTTTATTTAATTCGTAATTATGTCGGTCTACATTATTACCATTTTTAATAATAATCAGTCTTATTAAATATAATACTTTTAATTTTTTATCATGAAAGGAGAAAAATTAAGACTGAAATTATCATTTTTAAAGTAAGGAAATATGACGTAATTTTAAGACACAATATTGACTCCAAGTCTTTTTAAATAAAATATGAATCATTTAAAAACGTATTTTTCAATTTGATACAATATCGATTTGGTTCAAAAGAATGTCAGACCAATATTTTTGCCCAACCAACACCAAACATTTAATAAGTGGGTCAATTATCCCAAACGGACACATATGACGCCGCCACCCCCACTACAAAGACCCCATGCATGGCTGATGTCCCCCCTAATTAAGATCCAATCAGTGAAGTTCATACATACGACTATACGCATTCTCCGTACTACTACAGTCTACATCCTACGGAGTATAAAACTAATACGGATCTGTTTTAAAATAACGTTAGTATTTTGAAAATGTTATATACTGGTAGTATTTAGTGTTAACATTTCAAAGTAATCTACAACATTAAAATTTCATCCAAAATATTGTCGATAATTAATATCTAACGTTATTTCTAAACAAGCCCTACGTATTTCACATTTTCATTAATACTTTGTAAAAACCTAGGTTCGTCACATTTTACTCTATTTAGTACAATAGCGGTTTCAGAAAAAAAAATATGACTCTGAGCAAATTCATAGTAAAGAATAAGGCTAGAGTTCGGGGCAGTGACTCCAGTTCTTAAAGGCTATTTATAATAATGAAAAATGAATAAGTTTAATTTGAAACAGGTATTTAGATAAAGTTTAAATTACCCCTCCGTATTATATTTCAAATTATTTTTCTTTTATACTTTATTTAAATTGTTATTTTTTACTTTGAAACTATAATTTCCTTTTAGTACTCGGGCACAATATTTTTTACATGGGGTGATCTTTTAATTTACCACAAAAAAAATGTTCACACTGTACATTAAAATATTGACTTGGGGTTACTGCTGCTATAGCCTATAACATGATCCGCTCGTGCCATTCGTTCTGGTTTAATCTGAACAGTTTTCTGAAAGTGTCAAAAAGTTAAGAAAAAATTGGTTAAAATTTGTTTGAAAGAAAAAAAATTGTAGCCCACACATATTCTATAATCACTAATTTCTTAGGATAGTACTTCCTCCGTCCCAAATTATTTGTCACATTTCTATTACCGAGACAAAATATCAAGTTTTTTCAATCCATTTTATTTACATATTGGTAAAGAAATAAAAAATAAAAATTATATATCAAAAAACTACATGAAAAGTTCTTCGAAATAAGAGGTGTTAAGAATATTTTATTTTATCAAATAACCAATGAAAACGTCGAAATAAACAAAAGTTCCCGCGACTGCTAAAAAAACAAATGTTGTGAATATTTAGGGACGGAGGGAGTATTATAGTAAAGTAGTATACTCCATTCGTCTCGGAATAATCGTCTCATATTTTCTTTTTAGTTCGTCCAAAAATAATTGTCTTTCTTTTTTACTTTTCTAATAAATTAAGAGAATGTGGTCCATAATCTTTCTATCTCTTCTAAGTTTTGTAAAGTCAAACTGGGACGATTAATTCGGGACAGAGGAAGTATTTTAGAGAGAATTTGTTTGGAATACATAGATACCGATCAAGATTATTTACACCATCAGAAGACAAAGAGAATTAGGTATATATTAAGAATCTGTTTTGTTTATCTCAGCTTTAAGAGTAGATTACATAAATAGTCTTTCGTAACAATGAGTTTTTTCATTTATAGTTCTCAATTCTTAGATATTACATTTGCGGTCTTCGATAATTGAAAGCTATTTTGTAAATGATTCTTCGTGGATTATATATGAAATATAATATTTAAGTCAAGCACCATTAACGTACTTCTTCTGTCCTAATTTATAGTGCATGTTTCGGTTTATGATATTTGAAGATAATTAAAAATAAAAGTTATATATTTAAAAGCTACGTCAAAAGTTTTTCGACAAAAGAGGTGACATGTTTATGTCATTTTATCAATTAAGTAGCAAAAATTTATGATTTAAAAATGTTACGCATAAAGTTTGACTATGTGATGTATGAATAGACACTATAATTTGGGATGAAGGTATTAATGTTTAAAAAATTAGATACTATGTATTTATGGAAAATCTCTTGTTATAAAAGATCAAAATTTAATCTAATTTTAATTAGAGATAATAACATCCTTTATCCTTTATATATAAAAAAGGAGAGTTGAACTCTCAGAATCGCGACATTTGGCATGCTGACTGGGATTATTTTTTTGACACTTCATCAGCCATGTCATCAAAATGGACTTCCTCAATATTTCAAACGGGTTGGATAATCTAAGTAAATAAACCCGCTGAGATAAACACTCTGACACTGTAAGTAGGCGTTCAGAGTTGCGTTCTTCCTTTGTTCTATAGTCGCTTGTACACCTTGAAAGGAAACTAACGTGGAGGTACGCTATTAGTAGAAGCTTGCCGAGGTGGCCGAGATATCAACGAAAATGTGATTGGAACTTTCCTTCAATTGCTCCTCCCTCCGATAATCATATTCGATCAGTCTTCCAGGCACATCCCTGCCATAATCTCTGTAAAATCTTTGATTGGGATATCAATGAATATTGATCGGGATTAATCTTTGCAAAATATTATTCTTCCATTATGATATCAACGAAGATTCATCGGGATTAATCTTTGTGGCATAGATGATGCTAGATCTCCATGTATGGACGATGGAAGATGCAAAAAATATTTCCTGAAAAAATTTGTTGGGAAGACATCGTTTGATGAGAATATGTACCCAATATACAGAAGAAGAAACATGGGTATCACCACAAGAAGAAAGGATATCGAGTTGGATAATCGATTTGTTGTGCCATACAACCCACAACTCTTGATGAGGTATCAAACTCACATCAATATTAAATATTGCAACAAATCTAATTCAATCAAATATCTCTTTAAATATATCAATAAGGGTCAGTGGTATGTCATTTCCAGATGACAGTCCACTCAATACCTTTCAAAATATAGCCTGAAGGACTTTCAAAAAATTTGGTATTAAAACAAACTTTACTGTGTACACATTTCATTCCTCAAAAATTATTCATTTTACTTTGGCTTTTTTTCTCCATGTTATTATAAATCATGTAAGAAATATATTTCTTTATTCCAAAAAGAATACTACAATGAAAAAAATTCAAAACCAACAAGACATTCGTTCGACCCCGTGCGTGACACGGGTCAAAATGCTAGTAAAGATAAAGATTGGAGTCTGCGGAAATCTTGATACTTCCTTCATCTCAAACAAATCTCCTTTATTTTCTTTTTGGGTTGTTCCAAACTAATCTAACACTTTCCTTTTGTGAAAATTTTATTCTGACTCACTTTTTTCTCATGTTTCATCACTTTCAAGCATATAATTTCATTTTTTTAAATTCTGTATAAAGCCAAACTGTGAGTATTAATTTGGAATAGAGAAAGTATTAAATACAACCTCCGTTCCATGCCAAAAAGGCACAACACCAATAACAAAAGTAAATTCTCACTCTTTAAAATCATTTTATTTGAATATATTAGTATTGAAAAATACTATATTCGTTTCTTTAAATTCTTCCACTTTTGACTTTTGGCAAAAATAAGGAAAGTGTAATTTTGGTTGACTTTCCAATTTTGCCCCTGATGTGATGGGTAAAAGTAAAATGTGATAGTTTGGTTATTAGAGAAAAAGTATGATGTGATAGGTAGGATATGAAAAAGTAAGAGTAAAAGTGGTTTTTTAATAGAAAGTGAAAGTATTTTAGGAAATTCAAAAAAAACGAAAGGAGAAGAGTTTTGTGGAACGGAGGGGTATAAAATTTATATATTTAAAAACTAGATTAAAATAGTATTGAATCATGATGCAATAGTTATTGAGAACTTGAACAAAAAAATAAAAATAAAAATTAGGGTGGTGTAGCAAATTCTTTTTTCTTTGAATAATAAACAAAATCAACACTGATTCTAACCACCACCCCCAAAGAAAAAAAGAGTGAAAACCAAAATGAACTTGAAAATCGTTCTCGAAAGTATGAAAAGTCAAGTGTGAAATCAAATCGTACTTTGAACGTTGAATCGTTGAAGTCAGGTTTTTCTTTTTCCTTTTAATTCAGACGAAACAGTACATTAATGGATTATATTTGTATAGGGAAATTATATAGGTAGGCATGCATGTGCGGCACCCATTTTTGGGCCTGCTCTTATGCTATTGTTCAAGGCAACCTAATAGCTAATGCTGGTCAAGGTCAAGCTAGCTTCAAGCCCTTGAACCCATAAATGAATAAATAAATAAACTTTACTATATGGCAGGCATATCTCTTTTCCTGTTTTGAAGAAGATATGGAGTGATTAGCATACATATTTTTTTTTTCTCGGCATTGCGCAGTTAGTGAGACAAAGAATGGTATCAAAGAGTACACTAGTACAAAAATGACTTTTTAAATCGGTTATTTGGACCCTTTTAAATCGGTTTCCAACCGATGCAAAAGCCAGCGATGCAAATACTCCGATACGTTTTGCAGTTGCTAAAACCGATGCAAAAACCCTTTACAAAAATTACCGCCAGTTCAGAAAGTTGGCTTTTTGCATCGGTTATTACTAAAAAACCGATTCAAATGCCCCTACCCAGAAATGGCGCCATATTTGGGTAGGGGCTTTTGAATCGGTTATTTGTTAGAACCGATTGAATAGCTAAGCTTTTGAATCGGTTATTACAAATAACCGATTCAAATGCTCCTACCCAAATATGGCGCCATTTCTTTGTAGGGGCATTTGAATCGGTTTTTTAGTAATAACCGATGCAAAAGATTAGCCTTTGAATCGGTTATTGAAAATAACCGATTCAAAAGGGCTTTAAATTTTCAAGATTAATTTTGTTTGTTAACGATATAATGGAATACAACAATGCAGAAAATTCAGCCCATCAACACAGAAGTAACTAATACAAATGTTTTCACAAAAATCAAATCAAATGTCACAAAATGAATTAAACCACTTGAATATCTTAAACAATATAAGAGTAAAACTACTACGTACTCTTCAAAGTTTTAACAATACAACTAAATCCTAAAACTACATTGTACTCTACTAACTTACACAAGTTCATCGAGAAAACCCCCGGCCCAAAACTCTCTAATTTCCTCTAACTCGGCTCTAGTATAAGGCAAAGTAGACTGAAATACCTGCAAAATCAAACAACATACGACATAAAGTTCAATAATTATTACCCTACACTTCACTACTTTCGTAAACACTAAAACAAACTTACCTCGAATAATGGTACTGAACATTTCGCACAGATATTGACGATGACCCAACAATATCGCATTGTATAATAACCACAATCAACATTCCCTTTTTGTTGGGGTACTCCTGGAACATCAACCCAATCCGGTCGAGCCTTAAGCTGAGGCATATGTCGTTCCCGAAGTAATCGCCAAGACCTTTAATAAATGCAAAAAAACAAATTAATAAAAAATTAATTTCTTAACAAATAAACAACTTTATTAATAAGTAATAAATTTCTTAATACTCACTCGTTGACGAAAGTCTTCACCTTCATATTCTTATGACCTCCAGTTGACTTGATGGAGTTTAGAAAATACACTTTGTTTTCAAACAAACATATTACAACTAACACCCAATGTCGCCTACAATTGA